GCCAAATCATGCCTATCCAGGATTTCACATGCATGAAAAAGAAAGGTAAGTTTTGAAAAACAAAGATAAATAGTATTGCTATTTTAACTCTTAATTTACCCACAACTTTAAAACATATTTGACCTACACTGCTTATTTCATTAATCCTCAGTGAATAACAACATTGTGTTGTTATAAACTGTGTTGTGTCATAAAGAGGCTTTGAAAGATTGGAATCTACAGCTTTAACTGCAGCATAAGCATTAAATATTAGTGGTACTGTTGTGAGGAGTGCTTTGTAAATTGACTGGAGACACAAATAGAAGATGTAGTTGTTTTATGATCCAGTTTACCCTCTACATCAAGCACAATATATTTACCAAGAGAACTTGAAATTGTTATTTTAGTCTTTACTAGTTGCTTCTAAACAAATATTAAAAGGTGCTGTTTTGTAAAATGTTATCTTTATTTCCTAATATGTTAGTCAAATAGTCAAATAACCAACTCCACCAACTTTTGAAGAATGTCTTTCTTCAGACACTGGGACAGGGAACATATCTACATTTTAAGAAACTCATAAGTCTYTTGATTTTTAAAGTTTAAACAGTTCATTTTCCCATACTCACAATAACTTCTATAAGTTTTGGAAAGATTTTTTTTTGCCACTTTCATTTTTCTTACCCTAAATTTCAACTTCCCTGATTCATCAGGTGGATTTTGTGCACAGCCTTATAATCTCTACAGCTGTTCTGTGGCAAAGACTTGTAATGTATAACACCTTTATGTTTCATTTCTAACTCCCCATGTTTAATTCCAGCARCTCACTATTGTGAAACAAATACATTGTTGGGCCATAACCAGTAGGCATCAACTGTAGCTGAAGTTCAGTAATGAAAGCAAGAGGATTCGTGGAAGATAAAATTTTAAGTAAAAAGTAAGTACCATTTTTATTTTTAGGAATAACTATATGCTTTTTTTTTGGGGGGGGGGGGGAAGCAGCCAAATCTTTCTTTTTCTAGTTGGGGTATTTTTTAAGGTTACTTAATTTCTATCCCATTAAAGAAACTATAATATACGTAAGTATATTTGTGTAGAGGACTTTTCTTCAGAGACTGAAGGATTAGAGAACACTTTTTCCCACAAAAATTGTTAGGCAATGAATTTTATTTTGAACCTCATAGACTTTCTGTGCTGTATGCTAACACAAAACAACTTTATAAGCAGCTTTAGATACATATTGTCCTATGTGACAAAAAAAAAAAAAAGCTTTTTTTTCAAAAGTCCATATTTTTGATTAAAAAAGACATTCTTTGACAAGCCATGGATCTAAAGCTTTTATTTATGAGTGTCACTCCATTTTCTTTTTATTTTCTTGAATATTCTTATGTTGCACTGTTTTTGCTTTGCTATATTCTGTGGACCAATTGTGTATAAACATAAAAAATTATCCAAGGGGTCAAACCAGCAATGCACTTGGCATTCCACCTGCTGCAAGAAAATTGGGATGAGTCTACTTAGATATAATTCACTAGTTTTGCTGCCTCCTAAAATTCGTTCTCTTCATGTTCTCCAGCATTTACAGTCACTGAATTAAGAATGTTAGATCCATCTCTAATGCTTTATAGTCCCTATTTATAGACCTGAAGCCCTTGAACTGGATAATCCCAATAGCTTAATCCTGTTCTCAGCCTGGTGGTAAAATCTGTGTTCATACCTATGGGAGCAAAGCACAGGAGTTCATTACCTACTGAGAAGTACGTTTCATTGTTAGGAATGGGTGGACATTGTTATGAATCAGGTATACAGTGAAGTGGATTGAGAACTGGCTGGATGGCAGAGCTCAGAAGGTGGTGATAAATGGGGCCGARTCCAGTTGGAGGCCTGTGGCCAGTGGTGTCCCCCAGGGGTCAATACTGGGCCTGGTGCTGTTCAACCTGTTCATCAATAACCTGGACGAGGGCACGGAGTAAGTGAGCAAGTTTGCAGGCGATACCAAGCTGGGTGGAGTGGCCGACACTCCAGAGGGCTGTGCTGCCATCCAGAGAGACTTGGACAGCCTGGAGAGTTGGGCAGAGAGGAACCTCATGAGGTTCAATAAGGACAAGTGTAGGGTCCTGCACCTGGGGAGGAATAACCCCAGGCACCAGTACAGATTAGGGGTGGACCTGCTGGAGAGCAGCCCCKCATAGAGGGTCCTGGGAGTCCTGGTTGACACCAAGTTAACCATGAGTCAGCAGTGTGCCCTCGTGGCCAAGAAGGCCAACGGGATCATGACTGCATCAGGGGGAGTGTTGCCAGCAGGTCAAGGGAGGGGATCCTGCCCCTCTCCTCAGCTCTGGTGAGGCCGCACCTGGAGTACTGTGTTCAGTTCTGGGCWCCCCAGAGGGCAAGAGGGACATGGAGCTTCTAGAGAGGGTCCAGCGAAGAGCAGCCAAGATGATTAAGGGACTGGAGCATTTCTCATATGAGGAAAGACTAAGCGAACTGGACCTGTTTTCTCTGGAGAAGAGAAGAACRAGAAGAGATCTGATCAATATGTATAAATACCTGAAGGGTAAATGTAGGGAGAAGAGGGTTAACCTCTTTTTGGTGGTGGCCAGCGACCGGACAAGGGGCAATGGGTGTAAGATGAAACACAGGAAGTTCCATCTGCATGTGAGCAAGAACTTCTTTCCTGTGAGGGTGACAGAGCCCTGGCACAGGCTGCCCAGGGAGGCTGTGGAGTCTCCTTCTCTGGAGATTTTCAAAGGCCTRGATGCCGCCCTGTTCCCCGTGCTCTGGGTGTCCCTGCTGGAGCAYGGCTGGGTTGGACTAGATGATCTCTAGAGGTTTCTTCCAACCTTAACTATTCTCTGATTCTGTTATAGAAAAGGAATTGCAGGGAAAAAGCCATAACCTGCTGAACTACCTGTCTTTGACTCAAGTTGGTATATTTTTCTTTCATAAATTTATGCAGACATACTTTTAAAATCTTCCCTGTCTGCCAGTGTGAGTGTAAGGATGGGTAAGAGCATCTGCTACTTTAAAGTTAGCAGATCATGGGTCTTTTCAATTTAAAGGAAGCCGTAAGTAATAGCGAAGATGATACACAAGACACACAAAGACACAAACCTGACAGATAAAGGATAATGGACAATGACAGAGACCACAAGTCTGTAGTCATCTCCATTAGTACACACTGCAGGCATAACTTTGGAGAAGCCTAACTTGGACTTTGTAACTGAGTCTGCTGTAAATGGTAGCCCTTACGAAATCTCTTAATGCTCATTTTCCTCTCCATATGAATGAAGCCAGTTGTATTTTCTCACAGATGATTTCTAATCTCATTTCTAGTACAAAATTCTTTGCTTGCTACTTTAAGATTGATTTTGTTCCTTTTCTTGCTTCAAGTTCTTTTTTGACTTGGGTTTTCCACAAATGTTGCTATGTTACTAATAGACACGAGTGTATTATATTTAACTTGCTTAGTTTTACTCTTTTACCTCATCATTTTGTCCCTTCTTCAYAATTCAAATAAAGTGTCTATATATTCCCAGTACGGTTCTAGATTGCTTCATTTCATTGGAATGAATGAGCCCTCTACAGCCAATACATGTTGAATTATAAACCCATGAAAGGCCCTTGTTTTCATTTTATGTTTTCCCCGTTATTCACTGTACCCAAAAAGAACCATTCTATGATCGCCTTTAGTAAGAAATGGGGGTAAGCATTGCTCACCCAGTCCCTCACTGGACAACCAGAACTTACTTCTTTCCCTAGCACATCAAGCAGGTGATTTTACCCACTTCTTTGTCTGCTCTGTGGGATGACCCCCTCCTAGTGTTTCGTGCACCGCACATACCACAGGTGCTGCTACTTCCACAGTTGAGCCTAGTACAGGAGTGAACGAAGTGGGGGAATCTGCCTGAAAGCTTTTTGTTAAGTCTGACCGCAGGTCTTTTAAAAAGCATTAACAATGTGAGAACTCAAAAATTTGTTGTAGAATGCAGAATAATTCATTACTGTTCACTGCATTGTTCCAAAATAGAATTACATATGTGTATGCATATATATCCATATATATATATGCATGTATATATWTTTTTTTTCAGATAAACTAATTATAAATCATGGATGTGCTCAACATACTTCCCACTTTATGATCTCTGCCTCCGGTTGGTTAATGTACTATGAATCCATTTACAGACAATGGTCCTTTTACGGAGCCCTGGACAATATACTTGGAATATATGTAACCGTCTGGTACTCAAAATATTCATAGTCAAGATAATCATTTAGTTTGTGAGTAGGAGACCCAGAGCACAGAGGCAAAATCATTCTGTGGAGAACAGTGACAGAGGTTGTCTCATGTCAATATATCTACTTCTGAATACTCAGCCATCAGAGGATCACAAATATATGTCTTTCTATACCAACTTTGGCAAATGCGTAATATGTTTGCTCAGCATGTTCCCAAGTTAGCAAACATATGAAATACTGATGCAGACATCAACTTCTGCAAATGGCAAGATCCATCTGCAGTCTTCACATATATGCAGTTCATAACTTCCCAACATAGATATCTAAAATGTATAAAATGGGTAACACTGCTTACGGCCTAGAAGTACCCTGCTCTCACTCGCAGATAAAGATACTATTTTTATACTCATGCAAAGTTAGATCACATATTCCCATTCAAATTGCTTTCAGTATCAGTAGTGTCATTTATGTGATCTTACTTTGTGATATGAAGAGTATTATCATCCAAGATCAATTCAGCAGGGCACATATTCTCTTTGGTCCTAGAAYATAGTCATGGATTTAGTTTAAATATAAACATCCCAGGGGGAAGACACTAATCAGCAAAGCCCATTAAGTGTATAWTATTTTCATATTTGCTTGTATTTGATAATGCTAAAGTGGCTATGTGACTATCTCATTTCACAGATGCAAAATGGACACATCATGTTCTGAATACTTTTTCAGCTAATCTTGGAACTAAAGTCTCAATTTCTGCTGATTTGAAGCCCAAAGCACTTGCTATGGCATATATGACAGTTGTTTCTGTTATGCTGATACTAAGTCTTTTCCAGTGCAAGATACTGTTTTCCACTAGCCTGGCAAGCAGTCAACCAAATGTAGTGGGTAAGTAAAATATTGTCAGAATATGTTGTATGCTAGCTCTCTCTCATGTGTAATCAAAACTTGTTTTTTAAGACCTTAAAATTGTTTTAAATTCGATGGAGAAACATAGAGACTTGTGATGGGAGAGGTATCCAAGACAGATAAAAGCGAATCATTTAACATTTGGGGAGCTGCAGATTGGTGACATGAATATCATTGCTCAAGATGTATATTCCATAGATATAACAGATTCAACAGAGCTCAGCAACCACCTGTTTTGTGCAATAACACAGCTCCTGGGGGACTCCTTGGTGTGCAGGCATTACTAAGAAACAACTCCACAACTTGGTATGAAGAATGGGTCCTGTTTTCTTCAGTTTATGTCACTATGTTTGCAGATGGACTTGGACTACACAATGATCTGCACATTGCTAAGCATGAGTCTAAAGTTACTCTTTTTTGGAACAATAATCTGACAGAAGAAGAAATGGACATGTTCAATGTGAAGTATGTTTTGAGTTATAAATTCTTCAATTCTGCTCACGAGAGGAAAGTAAGTTGTTCAATGGTTACACATAGCTTAAAATGAAATCATATATTACTTCATTTGACAGATGAATTTGCATCGTTTTTATTTTAATGCCTCATGCTATCTATATATAACTGTTTCTGCCTCCAGGAAAGGCTGCAGGAGAAGGAAAAGATAATACATCTTGGCTTACATTCTGGTTTTAGAGCTAAAGTTAAAACACAACTTTTTAAAAAAGGAACAGGAGCCCTAATTAAGGAGAGTAGCTGGACTGAATTTACTTACAAGGCACCTCCAGGTCAGCTGTTTTCTGCATACTGTTAAAACATCAAGCATTCACAGTAATGTTCTGTCTTAGTTGGAAATACACCATTTCTAAATGTTCATTATTCTCTTAGTTGGAAATACACCATTTCTAAAAGTTCATTGTTCTCTTATGCCATTTTTTGGTATGTCTTTGTTATAAAGATGGCATGGCATCTTAGATTATAAATACGAAAGGATGTGGAAAGGTGTTACAGAAATTTTCTTTATTAGACTTAGTCAGATCCAGAAATCTTTACCTCTACTGAGATAACAGAACTACCCAAGCATTCTTCCTAGCAACTGATGTCTCATGAAGATTGTCTTCTCTATTATGAGGGTGTAGGATGTCTTAAAAGGGTGGAGATCTTCAACTACTACTCTAGACATTTTGGGCTTTTTTTTTTTGCAAATAGGTCAGTAAGACTTTTGGTACAGAAGTGCTTCTCACCTGTCACTGTCCAAAAAGCCAAAAAGACTTAACACATACTATATAAGTGACCTTCCAGAAGTGGTGATATCTAAAAGATTTGTGCTGGCATTTATCATTTCATTATTAGAAAAATAAATGTAGTATAAACAACATACTTTCTGTTTCCCTCCCCTATTTTTTGTTGCAGTTTATGTTCAGAATCTTTCATGCGTCATATATAACATTTCTTTTTTCAATTGCACTTGGCATATTAAAGCAGAGGCTCCTGAAGATCTGCAAGTTTTTTTTTCTTTCAGGTAAGGATCTTGTACAAAATAAGTATGAAATGGTATTAGTTTGTATCTAATTGCTAGATTTACAAGACTTTTATTTCTTTCCCCCAGGCATATAAAAAAAGATTTTAAATGCCAGGAATACATAAAAAATGCAAGGAAGAAAAATATTGGATGCCACATGAAAGAAATATATTTCCAACCATCAAGAAAAATCAATTTAAACATATCGGTAAGAGATCTGAAAAATGATTCAAGAAAACAGTCTTATTACAAAACTTTTACACCTCAGACAATAGGTAAGTATTAGCTATTATTACTTATCACATTTTTTTGCTATTTTTAAAAAGCAGATATGTTTATTTTTCCATCTTCTCCATTTCATTGACAGCATCAGTCACATATGATTCAACCTTCAGTTTCCTCTTCTTTTTGAGTGCCAGGTCAGACACTCATTTTACATTTGTACAGTTATATATAACATTTTCTTGGAAAACTGATAATTGTACAGTTCTGCTACAAGGCAATAGTCAAACAGTAAACTGCTTTAGCTGTTTGGTTAAAGAACTCTGTTTCAGAATTCTTATACTGAGCTAAAAGATTTTTAATACTCCCACAGACATTATATGGATTATAAATTGAAAAGCTAATACATCCTATGGCTCAGCTAATAGGCCCAAACTTTTCTTTTTTACTTCTTTGCAATACATTGACAAACTTTGTTAGTGCACACGTAAATATGGACATGCCTGTAGGGAGCATTTTTCATGCTACAAGTAGTGTAATACTCTTGGAAGCCTCTAGCATTGCAAGCTAGGGCTGTGCTCTCCCTGCTGAAATGATAACTGTAGCCTTTGCCTCATGCACATCAGAAAAGTTCATTCTTATCCAGGCTATCATTAAATAGGAATGTCTCTGGCAGGATTTTATACATCCTGCCCCTTGCACTGTCCTGGACAAGCTGTGAGTTACCATATTCTATCCTGAAATGGTTTCATTCAGTAACAAGGAGTACCATCTGAAAAAATAGGACTCGGATATATATTCTACATTACACACTTTCCCAAAGTAACTCAAATCTAACTATCCTTTTGGGCTAAAGAAGATACTCATTATTCCTTGTCCTATCACTGACCACCATCAAGATGAGTTTGGCCCCATCCTCCCTACATTCTCCCCTCAGGTACTTGTACATGTTGATCAGATCTCATCTCAGTCTGCTCTTCTGCCTGAGAAACAGGCCCAGCTCGCTTAGTCTTTCCTCATATGAGAGATACTCCAGTCTCTTAATCATCTTTGCTGCTCTGTCGCCCTGACGCTTTGTTGTATCAGTTTAGAGTGAAAAAACGTCTTTGCTACTACAGAAATCAGGCAATGAAGAGCTACTCCATCCTTTCCTAATGGCCAGATTTTGATCCTTGTCAAGCCTGTTGAGCTTCAGGGAGAGGCAGAGGAGCAGGCCAAGGAAGCCCGGAAAGAAATGCTGTTGCTAAGTATGTGGAACAGAGCAGGGGATCTGTACTCAAAAGGGCGGAGACTTTTCAAGGAGGATCAGGAAAACGAAAAGTGACAAAGGAAACCTCATTGTGTCACACATGCCTATAGAGAGAAACAGGATCCTGAAGGAAGAGGTGATATAAACAAAGAACAAACACAACTGCCATGTGGACTAGCTGTCCTGCTTCCATTCGCTCTTCTTTTTCTCTCTACTACCTCTTTGCAGTCACATAGGGCTCAAATTTCACCATCTTTGCTCCACAGACTTATGAGGAGCTTCTGCCTCGGGGTGTTGGCAGCACTCTTTTGGAGAAGTCCAGCTGCATTTCCTTGCTTCACAGAAACACACTAACATCTTGAGGTGGTTCAAGTTGCCCGCACACTCCTAGCAACGGTGTCCTAACACTAACTCTGCTAGCTAGCAGCTGGAAACTTGCTTAATCTTAACCAAGATAAAGCCAGTCTGCATCCGAAATGTCCCTTTTTCTTACTCTGTACTCCTTCCCTCCTTTCACTACTTATACTTCATGTCTGAAGGGTAGTGGTGGGACAGGACTTTTTGCTGTTCTTTACATCATCTCAGCAGATCTTGTTCCAAAACCAAAACATTCCTCTATAATGAATGCTTGTTATAAAAGAAACAAACATGCTTCTTAAATACGTGTAACAAACTTTATAGATTGAAAAAGACCTGCAAGAAGCTGCTACCCCTTCAGTAGATCTTCAGTGAGAACTGAAATCCTACTTTTTTCAAGGTTATAGCACCAGGCATGGACACAGACTTGGAGTCTAACTTGGATACTGACAGCAGGGTACATGTAGGAACAAGACATAGGAAAACTGAGAATTCAAATATTTACTTTTATACTGAGTGGATTTTTCAATTGAAATGCATGAGGCTGTTGCTACCTTTATGTTTTAACTTTCTATGTTAAACTGCTACGTATTCTGTCATCATAACAGAGTTCACTAGTTTATCTACACAAGCTATAGTCACAGCAGTGCAGAGTTACAGATCTAGAAAGATACCCAAAGATTTCAGTTAGATCCTGCTTATTGATAAGCAACATGGAAGATGATAATGCTTGTTTGCTAAAAATATAAGGGTGTTCACCATAAATCCAGCAACTACCTAGAAGACTATATTCAAACTGTGATATGATCCAAGTAACCAATAAGAGACTTACTTGGAAGTGATTAGGTTTAGAATAGGCAACCTTTTCCAGAATTAATTGAACAGTGGGCATATCATCCCTAGCACCATGGGATGGTGCTGCTGCCTTTTTTTGCTGCTGCCTTTTTCCTTTTTTTTTTCCCGTAAGAGAAGAGAAGAGTTCCTGAAAATTCTGAACAAACTTTCCAGGCCTGTCCATGTTAATGCTGTTAGATCTAGTGCAATCAACTAGTTTGTGCAGCATAGCTGAAAAATCCTTTTCTTCCTGAAAAATTCCAAAGCCAGGTATGGGAAAAATATTAGGAATAAGTTTTGCTTGATTATCTCAGTGCAATCAAAGGCATAAACTTGCAAATCCACCTATAAGCCCTGAAGGTCAGACTAGCATTTGCAACATGCTCCGACAGTTCCTCTTTTACACCACTGCAATTTTTTGTTCCTGCAGCCCCTTGATACTCACTAACCACACAGCTAACCAAGGAGCTACTGCCAGTAAACTATGAGAGAGAAGGGACAGGGGAACATTTTTTTTGATGGGAAGGTGCTTTCTTTGGTGAGGAGCAAGTTCTGGGTGATGAGTTTGCATGGTGGTTCAGCAGCCACTGTCTCTGCTCAGTGAAAAGTGCAGGAGAAGCCTGGGAATGGGGCTACTACCCAGGGTTATTAACATCATCTTCTCAGCACTGCAATAAAAGATAGGGAGAACTGTAACTGCTATGGATCAAGCAGAGGTTCGGGCTGCTGGGAATATGTGTGTGTGTATGTTGGACTGCAAAACTGCCACTGTCTAACACCAGCATGAGCAATATTCTGTATGTGTTGTCAATAGCATAGCAAAGTAGCTCTACACAAATTGCGCTCCGGCCTGCATGGATCATAATTTTACTTAAATGTGTACGTAACCAGCTTCAAAATAGAGCAGGCTGCCCCAATCCAGAGGTTATGAGGAGGTTTCAGAGTTCAGCTCCCTCCACCCCCACACCCCTACATGACTAGCTAGTATGACTAGTATCCTGCAGGCACCCCGTAAGACACAGTGGAAATAATAGTTCTGCTCAGAGGGCCCGTTCGTCCTGCCCACCCTCACCACCTTCCCTGGAAATGCCCATGAGAGAAAAAAAAAACCCTCAATTGAGACAGGAGCCACTCCCGAGCCACTTTGTGAGCAACAATTTTAAAGAGAACATCTGAGTGTGCCTTTTTGAGGTATGATAAATCTCCTTTTTGTGGTATGATAAATTCCAGAATAGTCAGCTGTGTATTTTAAGCGTTACATGAGCGTAAACCAGTGCAACAGCATAAGGTACCCTCTTAAGAGATACCCATAAGATCCCTCTTGTGCTCATTTTCAGAGAAACTGAATCCCCCGGTCAATGTCTCAGTTTTTCTTGAAAACAGAAGTGTTAAAATTCACTGGAACCCACCGCCAACTATTGGTTCTGCAAGAAACAGGTGCTTTATGTATCAAGTGAAAATTACAGATCGCAAGGTAAACAATGCTGCAGTAATACAAGTAATTTGCATAGCATATCTTCCATAACATCTAGGCACCCCTTGAATTTAACAGAATTAACTTGAATCAAAATTCTAGGAAATCGAGATGTCTTTCATGAGTAATTCTTTTTTTTTTCCTTTTTGGTAACAACAACAACAAAAAAAGGTACAGAGTCATTTTATGAAGTTTATGGATTCTCTTTAGCATTCAAGTAGACTGTTTTGCTTTTTCTTGTTGAATTTGAATTGTACTTTAATTTCACATAGGCTATTGATGTTTTGTTTGTTTATTGAGAAATGCATATCTATAAAACAGTCAAAGTAATAATATTACTTTCAAGACAAAAAGAAAAACTGAGAAAGATAAGAAATGCTGGGAAAATTTATTCAGAAAGGCTATTTTCAGCCTCAAACATATATTACTAAAAAAAGTTAACCACTACAAGTTAATTTCTATTCAAGGATATGACTAGAAAGTCTGATAGACTTTAATAGAAGGAAAAGCAGCACAACTACAGTTACATTTTAAAAATATTATCACAGATTTGCAGGTAGATGATATGGATTGGTCAGACAGCAACTCAGCTCTTTTAATACAGTTTTCTAGGAAAAAAATCRTCGTAGTTTTACTGTCCATCACTATTTCTCTTCCTTGTATCTGAAGGATGTTAAACATTTTTAATCATTATCACAGCTGTATTATTTATCTGATATTATGAAGTGTTACTCTAAACACATGACTTCATCCTGTATGTATTTTCACTAAGAACATTTTAGTGAGTCAGTCGAAAAATTTGGATCAAAGACATGGGCTGCTTCAAAACAAAGGCCAGTATAGATAAAGAGAAGAGAATGCTTTTACAAAATGAATTTTTTTAAAGGAGAATATAAATAAGATTCTATCATACCCTGAGAATTTTGAATTCTGTTTCTGCCTGGGTAGTATCTCTGCCTTCTTGATGTTGCCCTTGAATTTTCAGATAACACGTTAAATGTATCTTTGCTAGAAAGATGCTCGTAGATATTTTAAAGTACTCCACCTTCTAGAGAGAAACTTAAACATGTGCTTAGCTGATCCCTTGATCTGAAGTCTTGCTTCATAATGATGCATTTTACAAGAAATCAATTAATCTTAAAAATACACTACCAATAAAAAAATCTCATCAGAGTAGAATAATGCTGTCTCTCAATGTAGTGCTCAAAACTAAAACATATTTGATCAATTGAGTTTCAATTATAATTTGTTACCGAAATTTTTAATTAGACTTCAGCCTTGTGAAGTTTTCCTCTCTATTTAATTCATGTTGTATTCAGTAAATAATTCATGTGAAATATATGTATGTATCCTTACAGGATTATGCTCGTAATTTACATGTCAGTGTTGTTTTTTCTAAATATTTTCACTGAAAAAAAATCCATCTTGCTCTTTGCATATCTTGTATATATTTGAAAAATTTTCATACTTTAAAAGAAGTCCTAAATATAAAAGAAGTTAGTTTAAGCAGAAAAAAAATAGAGTATTCTAATTTGTGTTATACAGCAAAGTGACAGTCAATTAATTTCCTTTTAATTAAAAGGAACTGCCTTTACTTGCAGTAACAGTTGAAAAATTTTCATTTTGCATTAGGTGGGTGTATTTGGACTACCCAATATTCAGAATAGAAACAGAGGCACTTAATTCAGAATATGATAGCTATAAAATTCAGAAGTTCCTATGAATATGAAATTTCTGGATAGCTGATGCTGTCATCCGTGGTTTCCTTTAACTATTTATTTTCTCCTTTTTTTTTTTTTCTTTTTCTTTTGAGAAGTTAAATCTTAGCTAACAGTGCATAATCCTCTAACAATAAGAGGCTTGTCTAAGCTGACTGCAGAAGTCTAAGAGGCAATGAAAGTGTGTGAAAACGAATGATTGAATCGATATGTACCACTCTTTCTTAGACACATTAGAAACCAGAAATGCAATGAGATAGACACATTATTGGTCACGTAGTTTTATCTTGATAAACTGCAGAAGGGTTTATTAATTTGGACAGAGTGTAATGCTAATACTGACAGGCAGTTTCCAGAGAAGCATTGCCTCACACTTCCCCTGCATTTCCTTGTGTGAGAAAGGAGTTTGGGTCTCTCAGTGGATGTGTGAAGCTTCCCAGAACTTTGAGCTTTCCCAGAAGGAATATAGTTTTCTTCTAGGTCATCTCTTTCGTTAGTTATAAACCCCTTAACAAAGCCTAATTCAAAGCCCCTTCCTGAGACATCTCAGAGGTTGTCTCAGTCCATTTCCCAAAGTTTCTAATCACCAGTAGCCATGAGCAAAGTGGACACTTCACACTTCAGCCTACAGTGTCCATGCAGCCATCACAGCCCGTGTTTCCAGTTTCCTGTTGCCTTCCCTTCTTCCTGGGAATCCATATGTATCCATATGCAGGCTTGTAGGTACTTTTTTAAGAAAAAGTGAAAAAGAGAATGATAAAAATATGCAAGATCAGTATTTATTTATTCTGAAGGTCAGAAGAGATGTTGAATATTTACCTGTGTAAATATTACTGTGATACGAACTGATCAGATATAAAAGAAAGACAGTAAAGATCACGGGAAGCTAGGAAGAGTGGGCAAATAGAGTGGGAAACAAGATGAAAGATCAAACTGTTTGATAACTCTGAAATCAACAAGTCAAAATTCAATAATAAGCAAAATCTTTCAATTGGAAAGTACAGGCCAAATGTGTAAACAAAAAATAAGGAATTAATATGTAGGCAACAATGCAGAAAAATGAAACAAAACAAAAAAGATCTGTGGATTATATTGAGCCACAGACTGAGTCAGTAATTCCATGTTATTACAGAAAGGTCATATGTTATTCAAAAAATAAGGTCAAATGTTATTCAAGTGCATGCACATTTAAGATGTGGGTTATGACTAATTTACTTTTCTTGGTACTGAGCTCCATCTGAAGTTCCAAATTCCTCTTTGTGCACCGCCCTTTAGGAAATATAAACATATTGCAAAAATGTTGAGAGAATATCAGAGAGAGTTCACAGAATGACTAGAAATTTTGAAAATATGGTCTAAGAAAGGAAGACTGAAGAAAATAGTATACAGAAAAAAATATAAATGACTTGTACTAACAAATTCTGATGTATTATAGAATATTAAGAGGACCATGGGGATCATATTTATCCATGTCAATTTGTGAGTAAGATGAGAAGTGAGTGATAGAGTTTGAAGCAAGAAAAATGTAGCCTATGAGTTGTGAAAAGTGTTCTAATTCCAGGGAAAGTCTAACACAGGAACTGGCTCCTTAGGAATCTTGAGATCTTGAGAATCTTGAGGCTATGTGTAAAGAATTAGAGCAGATCAGACAAACATCTTGCAAAAATGGTTTAGGGAGATATCACTGAAGGTAGATTCACATCCTCCCTGACAGATGGCCTATGTAATTTTTTTGGTCTGTGCATTGGTAATTTCTTATGACGACTTGAGCTGATGATTGTTTATTCCTTAGGGAGAGATTTTCCATCACAGAGTTTAGTTAGCATTTAACCCTCATAGTTACTAGTAATTTGCTTTTCAAAGTCCTCATATCCCACATTTTTACTAACTTTGGAAAAACATAGTATATGAACTTTTGAATCTGTTTCTGACACTGAATCTGGAAGAAAGATTTCAAAGGGTTTGAAGGAAGAGACAAATAGCACAGTAAGGGGAGTCAAACCACACTGTGGTCAAATCCACACGTAGACTGTGTATGAGTGCTAGGGGAACAGGAGCTGATCACTTCTTAAAGGTATCTGTGCAGTAGTATCTCATCATGCTTCCCTTTTGTTAAAGATGCACAGATGTAAGATAGAAAAATTTTCGACTATCTGTATCTTAGATGTATAAACTTACTCCCACACAACTTCTTAAAATTATTGCTAATTTTAATGAGCAGTAGTCTTCTTTTCTTTATTCCTTCTTAAACTCTTAGCATTTTTTATTTACAACAATCACTTCAGTTTTCCAAAGTGGCTAAAGATTTAAAGATCTCTGATATTAACTATAACAGTCCTGATCTGGTCTTTATTTTTTAAAGTGATATGCTTTAATTTATAAGCACAATTTAAGATATTGCAAGAAAGTTATTAAATAGTAGACCATAAGTAGCTCACCATTAGTAGCTGAAAAAAAAAACTTTTATTCTGACAGAAGGACAGGTATAACGCACCTCCTAAACCAAAACCTTGGAAACTTGACTTCATAATTACCGTGTTCACCATACATTCAATGTGATACAAAATGAAAGGGGAATCAGTGCTTTCAGGTTCTTGATGTTCTGTTATAGCTAATGTCTTCTTCCATCTTCTCAATTCTGGTCTATTCTTCATTTTCAAACCAGACTTTTAGAACATCCTGGTTAAAAAACAGATTGTGTCTGGACATAAATATTCATTCTGAAAATATTTTTGCTGGATTTGAGATACAAACAATGGTAAATGAAATCACTAGATTTATATCTGTCTGAATTGCAATGTGAAATCACCTAAATATATCTTGCTAGCCTGTAAATGTCTCTGAAGAGAAATATGAGTATCCATTCCATAAGCCTCCATACAAATGTGCAGCACAAGTGAGGGCAAAGAAAGAAAAATGCATAACAAACAAGATTTGGAGTGAATGGAGTGAACCAGTGTTTATTGATGATGGTAAGTTATCATGCATTTACTATTTGTAACCCTTAGAATTAGATATTTTGATTTGATTTAGCATATTTATTTCTAAGCCTTTTCTTCTCCTTGCTGTATATTTTACTATGGCAGTCCCTCTGTCCATGCCATGTACCAGACCCTAACAGCTCTAGGTTCTGTAGACAAAGGCTGACCTTGGTGTAATGAGCTATATTTCATTTATCCTATGGCAGTTTTGCACATGGGCAGTTTTGTGCAGAGCTGTGGCCCTGAGGTAAATGTGACTCCTGATAGTCTTTAGAAAACAAAATCTGTCAGCAGCTTAAAAACACGTATGAGACACAAATCCCTTCTGTCTGCTCTACAATGGACAGCCCAACAGTCAATTTACAGCTGCCTTGAACTGGAGTTACTAACCCTCAGAAAATATAGATAACATCATATGCATCACATAGTCTTTAAGGACTAAGTTTAATATATTTAGGCGTGGTACTGTATCATGAAGAAAATTTCTTATTTCACAGAGGCAGGAAGCACTTTAGCTGTCATTTTTATTTGTGTGCATTTGGCTCCCACAAACTATTTTAGTACTGACTGAACAGAAGCACTGTAATACTTTTTTTTTTTTTTCACATCCTAAAACTATTTTTTAACATTCAGAAGCTAACAAGGACAGCTCCTGTGTTTTCCATGATAAGAAAACCACCTCCACATGAAACCTTGTGATGTCAGTTTGGGTGAAGGGGAAGTAAACTAATGGAATGAGTAACATCACATATTTATGTAGAAAATATGATGCATAGACTGTTTCTGTTAGTCAACACATAAAATTTTCCAATACTCTTGTTAATACAACTAAACCAGGTTAATATCCATTTAATGCAACAGACTGTGTATTTTGGCATATATCTTTCTGATCTGTGCAGCTTCAAGTACATTTCTATTTAGGAGAACAGAAATATGAGACAAAACATTGCTATTTATAGAGCTTAAATTCAGTCATCAGGTTTATAGAAGTCATCCACCCTCTCAGATGACTGACCACATCTCACTATTCTGTTGGCAGTTTCCACCTCTGTTGGTCCAGATGCATTCAACCTGACTGGAAGCATTAGGTTCGGGAGAAAGGAGCCTAGTTGCTCCAACCTTGTGGCGAAAGAAAGAGCACATTTCAGGCAATCAAAGCTTTAGATTTAACTTTGGAGGTGCTTTTTTCTTCCYCCTGAAGATAAAGGAAGCCTAGTAGGTTGGTATGGACAGCAGAGAGGTCTGCCCAGTGCCTATTGGTAGGTTGGATGCCTCTGACCACTGTGTAGGCAAGAGAAAGAGGGAAAACTGGTGCTTTTTAAAGCAGGAAAATGTAGGTTTACTCACTGCTTGCCAACATGTCTCAAGAAAAAGAAGAAGTAAATGGAGCTGATCAGCCACCCATCCTGACTCAGGCGACCAGCCCTGCTTTTGGCAGCTGCAGCTGCCCTTCAACTGTTTTTGACACCGCTGCTTTCCCAACTTCCTCTACAGCTGCTGTTGAGGCTTAACAATCACAGCTTGTTTCCTTCACTCCACCAAAGCTTATAACAGACTGGGCTGCCATTGCGTATAAACCATAAAAGCTCCATATGTTCAAAGTAGTGCGTTGATTTACCTCGGGAGCATACTGCACATATACCCAAATTCATGTAATATAGGCAATTTCCTTTCTTCCTTCCCGTACTCAGAGAGGATCAGTGACTTTTGTAATATGAATCTATGAAGTATATTACACTGAGGGCTCATGGGCTGAGGCAATCCTCCTTAAACCTGTCCTTTGATGCTCAGAGAAAGTTCCATGCCCACTTGGGCTTTTGGGGCATTTTGATTTGGACTGCTTTGAATTGGGAACATGTATGATTGAACATTACAAAGTACATTTTAATATTGCCTAGATTTGAAGAAGTTATTATGAGTAGTACTCATGTTAACTAATGCAAACCACATACCTGTTTTCATAGATACAGTGGATTTCCTGGAGTAACCTGAAATGGAAAATATTCATTTAGCATTTTTATTTTGAAATGTGTTATGAATGTGCATGAAATGACCTGCTGTTTGTTTGCTTCTGTGGGATATTCCAGTGTTTCATCTGGAAAAGATGTTGCATTTCTTTAAAAATGCATTTTTAAGAGGCATTTCACCTTCAATGTAAGAAAGTTGAAACATCAAAATGAAATAACATAATTCAAACAAAACTAAAATATTTATTCTTAAATGTTCCTTTGATTTGAAAAAAAAAATGTTAATTTTCCTGTGGGAAATAGATTCATTTTCCTTTGGAATTAATATATACACTTGAAAATATTCAAATTAAAATGAACTGAGTTTTTCAGCATGGAAACTCTCTATTAAAAATGTTTCAAAAGCTTTATTAGAGAAAAAAGCTTTATATAGAGAAATTTGAAATAATTTATCTAATTTATCCTGAGCATTCATAGATCACTTTGAAGTTAGTAGAAATTCAGAGGTGCTCTGCATTTTGGCAAGCCAAGTCACATATTTTGGTTTCCAAACTTTTTTTTTTTTTGGTGACTAAATTAAAACAATTSCATCTGAAAGAAAAAAAAAAGATCACAAAATGTTCTGTTCAAAGGAATACAAGTCGTTCTTTTTCATCTATTTTCCAAAATTCATGAGGTAAGAAACTGAGARAATCAAAGGCCTACATGTTTTGGCTGACTGAAGGACCACTATTTCCTCTTTTCTGGGGTGTATACGTGACACAGGGCTAGCACAATGATGCAGAACAGTCACCTCAAACACTGCCCAGAGAGCATTCAGGACTTATTTTCTGAACAGTCATCTCAAAAGAGAACAAGGCAAAAAAATCTCATCTCTAAGCAAATAAAGAATAGTTTTGTATTGTAGTAAAACATTAAGGTTATTCTTAGCTATAGTTTTGCCCAGAAGTTTGTGATTTTTTTTTTCTGGTAATTCATAATGCCATTGGTTTCAACTACTATTCAAATGCTAGTTAAAATTCTTCTTCAGGTCTTTTTTTTTCTTTGAATTTGATCTAGATTGATCCTAAAACCATAGTTCAACTATCCTAAGRCTGTTAACATTTGAAGAGTTGGTCCTGCCTGTTTTTCTTCAAAGTTCTTAGCTCAAAGAAATCCAAATCTTACTTTTCATTCTGAATCTGGATATTAAACAATAAATAAAATTTGACAAAAAGTTAGGTTTTGAGTCAACCAATGACTTTGTTATTTTTGATGTGGGGGAAAGAATGAAAAGCACAGAGTGGTATTTGTTGAACAGTAAAAATATGTATTTTTAGAATGCTTTGTTCACACATTTTTAGGACTTCGCCTAACAGGGTTAAAAAAGGTAAATATAATGAAAACCAAATGTCACATCTTTGGTCAAAGARAATATTGTGTTTGACAGAAACCTTTTATTTTCATTTTGCCTTAAACCAGTTCCAGCTGTGAAGTCCTGAGGAGGCAGTTGCAGGGGGTACATGGTGTTGGAGATGGCAGGTGGTAACAGCAGGAATCTAGAAGCAGATGGGGCAGGAGAGAGAGTATCAATAGCAGGCAGATGGAGGAGACACATATCTATAGGAATCAAGGTGGATGGAAGTGTCCGATAAAGTACAGGCAATGCCCAGCTTGAGAGAGTAGAAATTAATTGGATCTGAGAAGAAATGGACAGTAMTAAAGTCAGAAATCCCTATTTCTCCAAAAAAGGCTATGGAACTGCTTCTTTAAATTCTAAGTAGTTCAGGAATGATACGATATTTATGAGATGTAAATATAACCTCATCCATTTATGAACTACCCTTCCCCACAACTCTTTCTCATATTATTAACATTGTCCTTACCTCTTCTTTTTAAGAAAAGACAGTGGACATCATGTTGCTTACCCTCATCTTGATTTGCCTCCTGGTTTTCCTCGGATGCTTGCTGACGTATGCATGTCAAAGGTAATAGACATTTCTAGAAGGTGGTATAAATTTCTACTGGAAGAGAGATGGGGAGTAAATAATTGCCTCTGTGAAYAGAAGCAAACTATGCAATGGATTAATGTCAAACATAGATTTGTTTGCAAGAAGCACCTAATGTTAGTGGCTATTGCTCCAACATAGGTGTGATGCAGAGTCAAGACAAAATTACTGCCTAGAACAGTCACTGTCACCTCACAGCTTCCCTCTCAGTTCCACCATATCCAGACTCGCACCAAGCTCCCTGCTCTCTCTCTCCCACCAGAAATGCCATTTTGTACCCCAGTGCGACTTTTTGTACAAAGTGTAACTTTGCCCCATGCATTGTAGGTTCTGTTCACTGACACCAACGTCAGTCACACTAAAGATGAATTCTTTGGGCCATATTACCCTGTTTCTTTTCATAATTGATGAGTATCTACAATATTCTTTTCTTCCAAGTTTCACAGCTTACACAAAATAATTAAAAAAAAAAAAAGACAAAATGGGAAAAGTGCTTTGTTCTGGTCTATCATCAGTGGCACTACACTTGTTACCATTTAATGCTAGCTACTGTTTTTTTTTTTCTATTGAACATCGTTATGTTCAGGATAGGATGGTAACTCAGGATGCCTTAATATTTCAAAGGTACAGCATATAAATTCAAAACTTTTACTCTCAAAAGTTAATGAATTAATTAACTAAATACTAAGTATTATTCCTGGTTAGCACAAAAGCAGTTGCTATCTATCTTCCATCAGTAAAAAAAAAGACCTAAGGAATTAAAGATATGCAAGAGTTAATATAAAAAATATAGAATAAAAAGTATCCCCTAGGGAAATAATCACAACCATGTCACTGAAAGCCATCTGTATCCAACCATAAACAATGTTCCCATCAAATAGTAAGAAGTGCCTCTGGTCTCAGGAAAGCAATTCAGCTGCTATAGGTTTTTCTATAGGAAACCCATAGTATTCAAAGTCAACATATAATCCTTTGTGATGGTACAGATGTTTTTATAGGCCATAAAGCAAGTGAGCAAGCAGCACTCGTTTGCTTTCAACTTGAATTCTACTAGATTTCAGCAAACTAATTAAAAGATATTTCTGATACTATATCTGCCCCTGGCCTCAGACATGTTTTTCTTTCTTTCGTTATCATACTTTATGGATTATATTTTTAATTATGAAAAGCTTCTGGAGAGCAGCTCTGCAGAGAAGACAATGAGGCAGCAGTGTGCCCTGGTGGCCAAGAAGGTCAATGGGTTCGTTAAGAAGAGCATCTCCAGCAGGTTGAGGGAAGTGATTGTCCCCCTGGCACAGCCCTGGTGAGGCCACATCTGGAGACTGTGTCCAGTTCTGGGCTCCCCAGYACAAGAGGGATGTGGAGCTGCTGGAGAGAGTCCAGTGCAGGGCTACCAGGATGATCAGRGGCCTGGAACATCTGCCATATGAACAAAGGCTGAGAGAGCTGGGTCTGTTCAGCCTGGAGAAGAGGAGGCTGAGGGGGGACCTGMTCAGTGTGTATAAATACCTCAAGAGAGGCAGTGAGGAGGAGGGAGCCGGCCTTTTTTCAGAGGTGGCCAGCGATAGGACTAGAGGAAATGGCCACAAATTGAAGCAACAAAAGTTCCACAGAAACTTTAAGGAAAAAAATCTTGACAGTGAGGCTGACAGAGCCCTGGCACAGGCTGCGCAGAGAGGGTGTGGAGTCTCCTTCTTTGGAGATCTTCCAAACCCGCTTGGATGCTGCTTTGTGCCACATCCTCTAGGTGATCCTGCGTGTGGGGAGGGGTTGAGCTAGATGATCTCCAAAGGTCCCTTCTAACCTTAAGCATTTTATGATATATAAAAGTAAATTTACAGCATTTTCTTTAGATTTGTTTAGATGCTGTTTTTCACTCAGGTCATAGAGCGTGCTGAGTCTGCACTGGTGTTTCGTCTTTTTATATAGTTTTTTGGTTTAGTTAAAATGCTGCTGGTTATGTACTACAGTCAAGTATTATTGAATGATCYGTTCCTGCAGACAGTCTTTTTTGGTATCATTCTCTTGTAGGTATGGATGCCTTGAAGCTCTAACTCTGCCTATTCCACAGGCTTCAGATCATGTCAAAACTTGGTTAGATGCAGAAGAGACTCATCACCAGGTAGAGTATATTTGATTTTTTTGGTTAATTTTCTCTTACAGTATTAACGTACAGATATTTTTAAGGGTYAAAAACAGGGGCTTTAGGGGTTAGATTAGATTGGAGTAGTAAGGAAGATTTAAGAAAAAAAAAAAGGAAAAAAGGCAGGCAAAATGTTTGTACTGAAGCCAAAAAGAACAGAATGGTGGAGATTTTACAGGACAATGATCTCAGTAGAAAGGAGGAAGAAAATCCACAGGAGAGTAATATTTCAAGAACGCCTCAAAGAGAAAGTGTTTCAGCATATTCACACTCAGCTGGGCCACGTTTCAAGGGGCAATGACCATGATCTCCTGCAGAGGAGTGAGGTACTGGGGTGCTACAGGTAGAGCATGTGCACAAGCTACAAAAGGGGAAGTCTCCACAGAGATGTGTGAGGCATTAGCTATTTTGAAATAAAAGTTCATGTGCACATTTTTATGGCAAGTAAGAGGAAGCTCTGCTGTGCACAAAATATAACAGGACATTTGCTGTGGTAAAAATCGTGCAGAGGAGTGTTTTGGAAGAGCTGATGTGCTGTAAGTACAGATGGTAACTTACCCCRTTGTTAACTTACTTCCATTATCTGTGTAGATGTAAACTACACAGTGCTTGTAAATGTAAATTACAGGCTTGTGYTTTCAGTGCTTCTTTCCATTGTCTGTGATCATATGTATTAAAAGAAAAAAAAAAAATCACCAGTTATGTAAATTTCTTGCTCTAGTGTTGTAGTGAAGCTGTGCAGTGAACTGTGCTCCAGGAGGTATAGAAAGATTGTTTCTTACCAGGTTCACTTGTAGAACATGATGAAAAGGTGCACATAGATCCAAACAATTGCTTTTGTTTTTTGAGATATTACTGAAATAACAAACCATTATGAGGATTTTCTCCGTCTTTTCTATTCAAAATATTAGTTTAAGAATTTCTTTAAGATTTTCATGAATTTTACTCTATACTACTCAATTCTATTTACAATGTCTAAACTTCTTCTAGTCATACATTCAGCAATATAACTAACATCTGCCAATGTAGACAACAGTTATGCTGTCTTCTCTCCCAGAGGAAAAAAAAGTGTATATATTTTATATTTTAGAATATAAATCTAAAAATGATAATAATGTAATTAAGATAATAATCTAATTAAGATAATCTAGTTATCTTATTAAAAGATAATAATTTAAAAGGTTAATAAAATAAATAAATATATCTATTTTATAATATTCTGTTTTGTTTTTCATGTAAATATGGAAATATAATCACCAACTCTGGCAGAAACCATGGACCATCTCAATTTATAATTCATAATTGTAATTGTGAGACAAGGAAGGAGTAGATTGTTTTCATTTTTTTTACTGTCTCAAAGATAAATTTATGGAAAAAGTAGTGTGTATATGCCATAAAATTATATTGYAAATGGCAAGATTAATGGAATGTATTTTGAACTTGCACTTGATGTTCATTCTGCAAACTTAGGGCAGTTTACCAAGAAAGATCTGTGATCCTCTTTATCTGTAGTCATCTTTTCAGAAAAGAAAAGCCCAACAGATCTTCATACTGGATTGAAGTCAAGCTTCTTGTTCCCAAGAATCAGTGTCACTTTTGGGACACCTCAGGCCAGAAGTATTTGACCAAATTTTATGAAAAGGTGCTATATTTGACACCTTCTCTGTGCTAAATCCTGTCACCATTGTCATCAGTAATGGTGTATAAATTAATGAATAATACTTATTGGGGACATCACATTTGGACTGTCAGAACGCAAGGACAAACTCATGACTGTCAAACATATATTCTCTATCTTCTCCCACCCTAGAACTGTATGCTCCTTTATTTAGGGGTCTTGTTAGTTCATTRTATAAATCAAAAACCACAGCAATCAAAAATCACAGCAATAAAGATATTTGATATGTGTAACAGATAAGAGAGATAGCTCTGTCCCCAAACTGTTGCAAACACTAAACACATCTTTGATAGAAAGATCTCCACATAGCTGTGCAATTACTGCCTAGATGATTACAAGAAGTGGCTGAGATGACTGTTGATGTCAATCTAGGAAAAATAAATTGAATAACACATATGGAGCATATCATATCTCATATACTCAGAAACCTGAAATAACAGAGACATTGACTTTGGACATACTTTAAGAGTTAAGATTACTGTGGAGCATGGTGCTGATATTACTTGTATTATCCAACAGATGAGTATACTCCCTGAAACTTCAGCAGTTTGTAGCTAGAGTATGATTTTCACATAAGCACCAGATATATAGTCTTATCATCTCAGAGCTTAACTAGTGATCAAAATTGCAGCTCAAAACAACTAGGCAAATAAGCTTATGAGCAATTTGTAGACAGAGATTCTAACCAGTCTCTGTATTGTATTTAGCAAAACCGAGGAAGTAATCCAGGATAATCCTAGATATGCAAAATAAGTGGCATGCTTGTAACAAAATTCAGAATTTGTAGTGTCATTGAATTCCAGGTGTTTTGGTTTTTTGTTTTTTTTTTTTTTTTCATAATGTAATTTTTATCCAACAGAAACATATTTCAATGCAAGTGGAAATGCACTCAGAGACTGGGCTGGAAATTACAGAGGAGAACTGAGACAGGGMCATTCAGCAGCAAAGACACTTGATGAGATTAGGATCAGAAGACCTGTAACACCAATATGATTTATTTTCTTCATAGCAAGAGTTGTGTCTTTTTAATATTCTAAGCAAGACTGGAGTTTGCCTGAGCTCAACAATTTGATATTGCAGAAAACTTTTGAACTCTGACATTTTGTAACTCTTAGAATATGCTTTGGAATGCAGAAGAAATGGCAGCACCTTACAGATTGACTTTATCTACTACAGATCTTCAGTCCAGTAATAGTGCAACAACTCAAAACATACAGGAGGATATTCAGCCACACTTGAGTCAAGAATTAGAATTCATAATATTGTTTCAAAATACTGCAGTTGTTTCCAAATAATGTCCACTAGAGCTGCGCCTTTGAAAACTCGCTYTTCTTACAAATGCCATAATAACTGCTCAATATCTGACTGAAATATTCAGGAGAAATAATGGAAGCAATTCATRTTCATAGAAACAGTACAAGAAGCTTTAAAGGATTTCAAGAGCAGAAATCATCTTCTGAGATACTGCAAAGTGCAAGCAGACAACAACCAGAAAGAAAAGTCTTGTGTAACCACACAGAGTTTTTTAATGTGATGGATGTATTCCAGGGCAGCTAGCAAAAGGAGATAAGGTGAAGAAAATAGAGACTATTTTCTGCTGTATTCCAATACTTTTTTTAAAAAAACAGGCAATAAATATGCATCTGAGCATAGTTTTGATCCACCTGAATACGGTGACTGTTGTCGAAATATGTCCTTCATCTCATGAGGAAGACTGCACTGTTCCTTCTTTCGTACCAAATTCCAGACTGGACAATGGAAGGACTGTCATGGACTTCATTTGCCATATGGCCGAGTTCATGACCTAAGGTAAAAAAAAAGTAGTTTTACCAGGTAGTGCTTTATTTCCTGTCAATTTTATGTTTTATAGAAGGTGAGGATGGCCTTGCTTACGAACATCAGTGTTCTTCCCCTTGTATCAATCACCTTGATGCCTACACAGCTCAGCAAGGTTATAAATGGTAGATAGTATTTATTAAACCAGGTTTCCGTTTCCGTTTTGAGCAAAACACAGTTATCAGCATGTTCATTTCTCACCTGTACAGGCAGACATTGTCTCTGTGGGCAGACAAGGTAGTTTACCCCCTAGCCATGGTACTTGCCAGTTTTCAGCAKGACAGGAAGAATTGCTTCTTTAACCAAAAACCATTACAGGAGGGATTTGGGAAATAAGTGTCATGAACTTAAAGATTCCTTTGCAGGTAAGGATATAGAACTGATAAACTGAAAGTATTGAAACACATGTGAGCTAAGTGGAATGGGTAAGTACCACGCATTAGCCAAACACATCTGGAATCCAGACTTTAAATACTGAAGTCAGGCTTTGGTGAATATTATATTGTTCCTTAAAATATATTTTTATATATACATTTTATATAGTTTTGGCTTGAGGCACTTGAAGCTCGCAACCAGTGCCAGGATTTAAAATAAGACATAATAGCATATAAAGTCTTTTTACCATTTAACCTGAAAATAGAATAATTCTTTTAAATCAAAATTGCTTTGCCTACAAGAGGCTTCAGTTTAGATCCATATACACAGTTCACCCCAACACACATGGCAACCTCCAAAGGCATACCATAAAAAAAGAGAAAAATGTAATATCAGTTGTACAAAAAGTTAGTTCTAAAGTGAAAACTTTGTAATAAAAAAATCACTGTCTAGACCTTTTTGAAAAACACTTCAACATTTTCTTTAGAAAATAGTATAYAATTTTCTTAAAATAAGAATATTATTTTAGCTATTCTAAACCTATATTCCAATCATGGATTAATGTGCAATATATACCTGACRAAAGATTATAATCTGAAAGCAAAATTGCGCAGTCCTCTGTATAGTAGTGAGGACTGAAGTACATATAAAATCTCACCCAGCTCAGCTGGATCTTTCCTGTGAGTGAAGTGCTTACTTTCAGAAAGCTTCATCTTCTCAAGTGGCACAACTTGACGAGACTCTTGAGAGTGCAGCATGCACAGTGATTCCTATTCTCCTCAACTTATGCGTACATAGAAGTCTCATTTGTTTCAGCTGGTATTGGAGTTGGTATATTTCTGATTGGGCTATAAAGCCTTGTAAAATATTGTGACTAGCTATTTTTATACTTTCAAGTCTCAGTCCTCACTTCAGCCAGGTATGTACAACATATGGAGCTGTAGGTCAGGGACTATTACCCTATAATTTATTTTCCTCTTCCATGYAAGTGACTGATAATGGCCTTATCTTACCATTTTTTTTCTTAGGGCACTGTGGTTCCTTTCTTTTGGTATGGGAGGAAGGTAATTGCAAGAAAAGAAGGGAATCAGTAAAGTAACTGGCTGATTGAGAGCAGAAGAGTGTGATTGACAGTGCATGAAGCCTGGTCAGATTGTCCATTGCTGCCACCTACTGTACACACAACCTGTTTTTAATGAAAACTACTCTTGACACTCTCAATCTGGCTTTGTTCCAAGTATTTCTGCAGCTATGCTGCTTTAATTGCAATGATAGAAATACAGTAGTCCACTGAACTCTATCTTGCAGTCATAGTCTGTGTTAGGGATAGATCTATCTCACCAAATTTAGCTTCCTCAGAATTAGCTATTAAATCAAATGTTTGTCTCCAGGCCCTGGGACACTAAAGGGAAAAAAAAAAAAAAAAAAAGTAATCACTTTCAGAGAACACTTTGTTCTATTCCAAAATAGGTGTCTAAAACAGGATAAACTTTCCCTCACTTTACACACTAAATGATCAGACTCAGATTAGATGCCTATATTGGCAAAATATGCTTTTCTTCACCTAGTTTATTATAGTTTGGTAGGTGTTGCCTTAACTTTGGGATTTCTTCCAGCAAAGAAGTTCACAAGTTATCATATTTTAAACCAATATTATTGTGCCAACAACAGTAAGTTTGATCAAAAACAGCTCTGATGATTGTTAGAGATAAAAGGCTGAGAATCTCAAGCCACAATATTTTTGGTCAAAGTCTAAATCCACCTATTTATTCTTTTCACTGTCAAGCATTAAGACTTTATCCTACCGCATTTTCAGTTTCACCAGTTAGTTAAACACATCCAATAGATAAGGAGTGTGCGGTTGTGAGGTGTGCATGAATTAGGAAGATGATCAAAGAAACACAGTATTGACGATATTCATCAGCACTGTAACACTGTGTTCTTAGAAGACTACTTCTATTTCCTTGTTTTGTTTGTATGTAATTTCTATTGGCATTTGATTTAGTCCATGCTAGATGACTGATGCAACTTGAATTATTTGTATCAAGAAGAACTAGATATCTGCTACAAAATAAGTAACCTTACACATAAAGAAGACATTAATAAGATTAAAAATCTTGTGTGGAAAACTGGTGCAGCATTGGACTGCACTGCATGATGTATCACTGCATTTCAACAGAATACAGTCATATTACCACCCATAGTAATTGCTTCAGAAAAATCCAGGCCACATCTTTTGATACAAGTTGCTTATAAAGTCTATAGTCATGCTTATATTTCTCTTAATACCTGGCAGATGATTAGTGATACACTCCAACTATTGCACAAATGATTAAAGAATATGATTCTGACTACAGCTGGTCTTTAGTTCAGGAACCCTCCAATCTTATAACACCTTCTGAAAAAGTACAGGCAAGTTTATCTAGTTGCAGTAAATCCCATGTAAAATTCATAGAAAAAAAAAAAAAAACATTAACAAACTAGGGAAAAAGAGGTGGGTTCAGAAGGGAGAAAGAGTTGGTACCCCAGACCATACAGCAATGTTTTTATGCTTTCATTATTTAACAAGGATTTGCTTGAATCTAGTGATACAAAGACAACTCTTCTGTCTTAGGTAGTTGCTGAGTCATAAACTGCAGGACACTGTCATCCTCTTATTTTCTTCCCTAGCCGTCCACTGGTGGCACTGTCAGAGCCTTAGTGGCCTGTGTGTCTAGATCAGCCTTCAGTCTGATTCACTATAACAATGTTCATGTCCTTAGAGCAGTTGGAGGAAGTGCTGAAGCTTTGTACGTGTTATGCAATTATTCAGTGATTAATTATGACTTACTGATAATGTTGAAACTAAATCTATAATTTCTGTGTTCAGAAGAATGACAAAGTATGGTACTAAACTGACATATAACCCCACATACCCTCAGATTACCACAGGGAACTTTGAAAATGCTTCATAAAGTCACAGATTTCAGATGCTGTATGTATGTTAATGTAGGGAATTCCTGTCATGATATGGAGAAGGGATTTATCTACTTACAGAATTTCAGTAGTTTTCTTGGATCACCTGGTTTTCTTTATATAATAATATATTTTATTTGTAATATACAGAATGCATAAGCTTTATCCTTGATTCCTTTTGGAGATTTAGTAAAGGAAACTGCCATGCATATACCTTGGGCTGAGGTTTCAACATGTGGCAGCAATAGAAAGATATGGACACAAGCAAAACTGTGTTCCCTTTCAAGAGACTGAACAGAATCTGCAATAACATATATTCAYTATATTGTGAATGTAGTCAATTTTGATGCACTGTAACATTGCACCACTTGACTGGAGAGTCTGTGAAGTATGAGGTATTCAGGGATATATAAAGACTGTAAATTATTTGCATCCTTACATTTCTCAATTTATTTCTTCATGAAAACCAATAAAAATAAAATAACGGAATACCTGTCCCATATGTAGCATATATTTTGGATTCCTTTATATTGAAGACAGTGTATGCTCAGAGAATAGCTTTTGCATGCCTGTTTAACAGTTCTTAGTCCTGGTCATGTTGAAATTAGAGACCTGTTTGGGGAATTTATGCTGTGCAGCTCCTGCCATAATTCCTAGCACACAGACTTGTATTAAATGTGATAAGCATTCAGCATTCCCATTCAGCAATGGGAAATGAGGAGCTGTTGGGCTTCACAGGATCATTTTGGGGCTCACCAG